ACTGACAGGAGAAGAGTTTTCTGATTCAGAGTCTCTCAGACGAGCTATAATCGCTTCCAGGGTGCACAGCGACATAAAACACAAGACGAAAAGGCTGCTGCAGAAGGAATTTGAGCAATTGAAGGTAGCTCATATTGTTGGTGAGGAAGCATTCAGGTCACAAATCCAGGCATATGAAGGAGATGTCATTCACAGGTTGTCATTCACAATGACAGGTTAACCGTTAACCTGTCACGAGAGGACCCAAATTTGGGTCCTCTCGTGAATGACAGGTTAAGACAGCAAGCAAAAATATTTAAGCAGGAGGTAGATAAAGAGATGAAAGCTCACTCACTGAAAATGATGAGGGACCAAAAGATTATCAGTGAACTTGGAGTCGAGAAGGACAGTCTCCAAAAGCAACTCACTGTCCTCCAACAACGGTACTGTAGCTGTGAGGTTAATTATAAAACAGAGCTGGAAAATCTGAAAATGGAGCTCCAAGACAGAGATGAACTAGGACCTTCAAGAAGAAAAGTGGCCGGGCATCAAGAACCAAACGGGGAAAACTACACTATCCCTGTAAAAACCATTTATGACCCTGCATCCATGGATCTGGAACATCTATTAGAGAATATTGAATTTCCTGATGAATCTCCCAAGGAGCTAAATGACTTTGTAAACGAGATGCTGATAGATTCAAGCATCCTTGATCCTGAAGCCATGGAAGTGACAGACCTGTGTGTGGAAACTCTGTCAGAGAAAAGGGAAAGCCAAGATCCTGAACCATTGGAGGAGTCTCTGAAGAAACATCTTCAGTGTGGAAAACGATGTGACACACTTTGAGCCTCAAGAAGCAACAAAAACTGAAGAGAAGCAAGAAAATCTCTAAAACAAGCAACTAGCAAAAAGTGTCCAGGTAAGTTCTGAACCGTTTCCAAGACGTCAAAACACATCTCATGTTTTAGACCAAAAAAATGGGCAGCATCTTCACAGAAAAGAGATTTTAGTTCTTAACCAAGCGTCTCTTTTTGTGAGAGTTTGTTTGTTCTCCCAGTGTTAGTGGGGGTTTTCTCTGGGTGCTCCGGTTCCCTCTAGATTTCCAAAATCATGTAAATTGGGGTTATTGACCAATGTAAATTGTCCTCACAAAAGGTAGCACTAATTTCTGGAAAAGTTGAATTTGCAAACCGTTCGGATTGGAGAAACATAAAAAGAGTAATATCCAGTGAGAGTTGAACTCTCCAAAGGTTGCCCTTTGTCACAAATTTCTAGGAGCCGTCAAGGTGTTGATGGGATCCATTTTGGTGGACTTAGGATCGCGTCTGCAAAAAGGATTTCGTCTGTTTTTAGTGTGGTAAAAGGTACAGGTACACTTAAAATATATGGATATGTTGGTAATTTTTTTTCCTTTCGTTCATTAAATGCTAGAGAAATGGAGGCAAACAGTACTCTGTAGCTCAGCTAACTATGCTAAATGGTTGATAATCTCTCATAGTCTACTCACCTCTCTTGGACAAAAACTGAGCTACAAATTGACACTCTTGTCTTTTTTCTCGCTCTCTTTCTTTGAAAACCTGACTTTATAATTTTTCTTGGCAGCATAGTATCTGCAGTAGTTGTTCTTGTCTTGTACTAACTGTTACTGAACACCGTCACCGTCAAGCGCTAAGCAGGAACGAACCATTTCATGCAGATTCATGGGGGGTTTAGTGCAAATATGGATGTGTGCTTTTTAGTCTGGGAATGGTAACATTTACTTTTTACTTCGAAAAACAATTTTAAAAAACATGATACAATTAACTTTGTAATTGACAGGGCCCCGTTTTTTCCCCTATGGCTATGAAGAAAAAAAAATGTTTTTTGGAAATTGTCCTTACTTTACCCCCTTCCACGCACCCCTACTAACAGATGCTTCTATGGTGCATTCAAGTACATCTCCTGCACCGGATTGTCTATATGTTGACACGGCTCCAAAATAATTTAATCTGTTTTTCTTTGCTATTGTATAAACTCAGTGTATGTCTGCTTATTCTTTATCTACACCCTCCACTTGTAATGCTCCAACAGATTGATGAAATCAAATTATTGTCATAAAACTTTTAGTTTCTTGTAACACTGCTGAATGAAGTGGGGGGAAAAAAAGAAGAAGTTTACATTTTGTTTTGTTTCTTGACTGAAATATATCAAAGGCGCTGAACTGTTACTTTAAATATGAGGTCCCTACCAAGCCTTCATAACCTTCAAATCTTTATAATGTATATAACCCATATAACACGAATGGAAGTACGTTCTTCCCAGTGTAGAATGAAAGAACATAGATGTTGTTTCGGGAGCTATTATATTAGCAAGTGGCCATCCTGACTGAAGGAAGTGTTCATTTCTTGGTGTCAGCTGGGCAGATTGAGAAGTTCCTCTGAGCTTCTTAAAGCGGCTTAAATAAGAGCAGCTACAAACGTTAGCACTCTCAGTTCCATCAATCTTTCCCTCGCAGCCAGCCTCAGCTTACCCTGCAGTTTGTGAACCATTTCACGATAAAGCTTCGACGTCTGGCCCAAAACGGCTCAAGCTTTGTTCCCATTAATTTCTCCAATCATCTGTCTCCGAATCTCTTCATTCCATCTCAGCCAGTCACAAATAACTGCACTCAAATCACCTGTCAATAAGCAGAGGGCTATTGCATAAGCGCATAGTTCAATCGCCGTAAATTATTCAAAGATAGACCTGGAAGCCCTGCTTTTATATTTAGGACCTGGCATAATTCAGATTAAGTGAGAGAGATCAGCAGAACAGGGGTAGGTCCACCATTAGGGGAGAGAGGGGGATGAAAACTCATTTGGCTGAGCAGCCTGTGCTATTCCAGCCAAGCAGACAGAAACTCAACAGATTGGCCCCAAGGAAACACACATACACATACAGACATACACACATAGTAAGTATTTCTGCCTTCAAAAGTATTTAGATTCACTTCATTAATTTCTATAGCCTAATACTAACCCATACCGTAAAACTACCCGTTACCAGTACATAATAATCGTAAACCTAACCCCTACCGCTTAAAACAGCACCTCTTCTTATGAGGTCCTGACATTAGGCCCCATAAGAAACAATGTAGCGTTTAAATGGTCCATGTACTGTATCAAATACAAGGCCACACACACACACACACACGCACACACGCACGCACGCACGTACACGCACATACACGCAGACACGCGATTGTATTTCTACCCATATTAAGACTTTGGATTGACTCCCAATCATTTTAGTAACTGCAGACACTTTCACCAACCCTAACCCTCATGAGTATAAACCTAGCCCTAAACTCAATTCACTCCTTAGTCCTAAACCTAACCTTTGTTCACTGTGTGAACCAGCAAAATGTCCACATAATGCCACATTAAGAATTCTGAGAACTTGTGTTTTCAGAATACAAACATCTATACACACCATAGTGCTTCCCTAAGAAGTGTGCCGTGGATGGAAGGCCATATAAGGGAAGCATTAGGACCATGTGACCCACAACACAAAGCCCGAGCTAATTAAATCTTCCTTGCAGATTTGCCCAGGTGGCCTAAAGCTGTAACCTCTGAAGCATGAGGATGGACACACACACACACACTCACACACACACACACACACACACACACACACACACACACACACACACACACAGACTCACTCCTCCTCACCCTACTGAGTTGCTCCAGCAGCCTATGGTTCTGTTCAGACAGTTCGCTGATGGCCTTGGTCTTGTCCCTGTCCGCCTCCCTCAACTGGACCTGGTGGCGCTCCAGCTCGCCCTGCAGGTGCTGGACGTCCGTCTCCAGCTCGGCCACGCGGCCCTCCCACTCACCCTCTCGACTTTCGAAGCGCCGCCGCAACTCGTGTTTCTCCTGCTCCAGGTGCTGGGTGTAGAGGAGGGGACAGGAGTGTGACAGAGGTTATGTTCTGTATTTCATGTAAACATACATCTAAAGTAAATAACAATGGTAAATGGACTGAACTTATATAGCCCTTTTCAAGTCATTTTGTCCACTCAAAGCTGGAATTGAACCTATAACCTTCCAACTACAAAACAACTACTCCACCCACAGAGCCACATTCACCCCAGAATGGGACTATAACTTCACTCACACTGTTATGTTTCATAAACAATTCCATTTTCTTTCCTTGACAGGGTTTTTATTACAACAAAGTGGTAGAGAAGTTCAGGAAACTCAGTGTTGATTTACCCACGGGATAGATTACATTCAGTGTAGAACTGACAAAGTACCAAAAATTAACATAAAAATGTCAAACAAAGAAAAATTGTGAGAAACAAGGAAGCGAACAGTAAGATAACACTCTGGTTTTCAGTAGAGGAGCATCAGTAAATCAACCAGCTGATAAATCGGCCTTGTTTTTCTTAATTTTGGGAGACAGGTCAGGTTTTTTTTAAAGATTATTAATCGGTGCAAGCCTAGTTTTCAGCCTAAAAGTTGTTTAACTACTAAAAAATTATTCAATCTCCTTGATTTTTTTTTTTCACGTTTTGTTTAGCTGCAACCAGTAAGTTTTACATGTAAAACATGTAAAAGCTAAATCTCACCGTAAAAAAGTTTATTCACATGTCGAAATCTTGGCTAAAGAAAAACCAAAAATGTGATCATCCTTAGGACTCAGATTTAATGGATGAGAACGTCTGTGTAGGAGTGTACGTATTAGTGAGTTTGTATTATATTTACAATTTTAGCATGTTAGCAAGAATGGGGAGGCACTGAGAATGTACAAAGATATTGATGTAAATTTGGAGGTTGCAAGATTATATGCAAGGAGGAAAACTTTAGTATATTTAAACTGTACGTATTTTAATGTATGGTTTTTATTATATGAATTTATACGTTCCAAAATAGTTTTTGGAATTTTTGGAATAAAAATGTACGTCTTTGTGTAAGTTGTATGTACTTAAATGCATAGAAAATCCCAACCTTGCAGGGATTGAAGTTGTGAATCTTGGTGCAAAATGCATCAATTAGAGATCTCTAATTGATGCAAAATGCATCAATTAGAGATCTCTAATTGATGCATTTTGCACCAAGATTTGATATTTGTTCTGTTCTATGTTTGTGTGCAGCACCTCGTCAAATAAATAAATACAATGAAATCGTGAAATTTTGAAAAATGATTGGGGCTTTTTTTTCTCCACTTTACAATTACTGTAACTTCATGCTGACCTATCCTATTACATAAAGTCACAACAAAAAGTTCCAAATTGAATTGTGGCAAAAGTTCAAAGAGTTTGAATAGTTTCACAAACAACAGTAAAATCCAATGGCCTAACTTCAGTACAGACATTTTTTTGTAACTTGAACTCACAGAAGCACTGCACTGTTAGAGCTATAGTCAGAGCTTGATTGGGAGTTGTGATGTTTAGGTCCGAGGTTAAACTAAATGGAATCTGAACTATTTTCTTCTTTGGACAAAAGCCAACGTGAAAAAGAAAGATCAGGGTGAATCAAAAACAACAGCTTCAAACAATGCGGGACTTTTATGGGAGCGTTTCCCCCTCTCTGAGCTCATGCAAAAGGATGAATATGGATCAAAGGGCTGAACAGATGCCCAGCAGATACTACAGGCCCAGGACATAAACAGGATTAGTCCCTGTCTGTGGGTGTTTTTCTCAGTCTGTCGCTTAGCTCATGTAAAGCATTTCGAAAACAAGATAAACTAAATCCCTTTCCCCACTGTAAAAATTACATCTAAGATAATCATTCGTACATAGTTTTAGTTTGCATTTGTCACCATCGATTACAACTTTATCCATCTAAAACCAATCCAGTCAAAACATGGCTGTCTTTAAGTTGGTTTAAGTGATCAAACTTGACAGAAAAACTTTGATATTTCAGACTATCACAACTTCTACAGCGGGGTTTCTTGTTTACCTCCAACTTCTCACACAGATCTTTGTGCATCTTCTCGTATTGCTTGGTCAGGTCTTGGTTTCTCTCCAGCAGCGCTTTGCCCAGTTTAGCTGCTAAAACCAAGTCCTTCTCTTTTTGCCGGAAGAGCAACAGCATGTCTGCGCTATGCCCCGCCGCTGGCGCCTCCAGCTCCGCCAGCTCCTCGTCGACTCCCCGCTCCCCGGTGATCATGGCCAGTTCCTCCTCCAAGGCCGTGCCTAGGCCTCCGGAGCCGGCGCGCCGCGGCGGCGGGTGGCCCTGAAAGCCGCCGGGCTCCTGAGCGCCGGGGCTAGCCGGCGGCTCCATGCAGTCGCTGTCCAGCTCTACTGGTGCTGAAACCACGGCAGACGTCTGCAGATCCAGGCAGAAAGCGGACATCGCCGCCCGGCGGAGAAGTCAACAGATGGGAGCCGACTTCACACTGGACAAGCCCAGCCTGTTCCGATTCGCCCAGGCTGACCGGACCGGCTCGTAATCACCAATTTATTCATTGTTTCCGCTCAGTTCAATGCGGTATTTAGTGAAGTTAAGTCGACTTCCCAGTTTCCTCACGTCCGTATCTCCTTCAATAACCTACCAAGCAGTGACTCCAGCTCTGATTGACTCCCAGAAAACACCTCCTCCTCTGCAGCTCACTTACTGACATATGAAAGCTCTCCTCTACCCCGGTATGAACCGCCTGCACGGTCCCTGTGCTGTGGTCGCTCGATGAGGGTCCATCTCGTCTCGGGGTCCAGGATCCCCCATAATGCTGAACCTGGTGAAGCAGGCACTTGCCAGCCAAACACGGTGAGCGCGACCCCGACGCCTCTAAATCCCTTTCCCCGTCTCGGACGCGCGTTCCCGTCGCCGTCGTGACGGCAAGCAGAAACCTGTTACAAACTGAGCGGCTATTGGCTGGAAATGATAGCGCCATATTTTGGTGCTCCTCGCACACCTCTATGACATCCAATAAGCGAGCACGTGAGGAGGTAGAGCGAGGGTCCGCTGTATCAAGTGATGCACCAAAAACACACCTGCCACGGAAGAAAATCAAAACATTTATTAAACGAGGGTGTTTTATTACTAAATTAACGGTACCAGGCAAGGACAACAATGTTTTCATCATGCTTCAGTGTCGTCACATTCCTGCAATAATGGCGTAAGTTTTTATCCCAAATTAAAATAAACACATTTATTATTATTATTATTATTATTATTATTATTATTATTATTATTATTATTATTATTATTATTATTATTATTGTTACTACTACTACTACTACTACTACTAATAATAATAATAATAATAATAATAATAACAATAATAATAATAATAATAAGAAGATATAGGAAGGTGAGGACATATAAAGTAAATTAAAACGTCTCTATTTAGGTGATTATCAATAGCTTAAAAAGAAATATTTTTCAAAAACATGCAATATTTACACATATTTTAAGCACATTAGTTTACTGTGAAAAATATTTTACCTACTTAGTGATGTATTTTGTTTGCTTTTTCTCATATTACAAAGCTTCAGATTAACAAACAATTATTAATATTAGACATAGACTGCACGATAAATGCAAAATTCAGGATTCAAATTGTGTTTTATTTTATTACAGGATAGGTATCAAAACTTATATGGCATATTCAGAAAGGGCAAGGTGGGTTAAGAATCATGAATATTGATAATCATTCAAACAGAACCTGTCTGACAACATGAAGTAGGTGAAAAGATCTCCAAAAGCAACACATCATGACCCTTTCAAATGAAATTCAACAACAGATGAGAGAACAAGTCAATGATGTCACAGTTTGGGAAAGAGTAATAAAATTGTTTCAGAGCTTAAAGCAGCATTACAGACAGAGCACGAAGCTTAAATCATGCTAAAATCACTGAGAGGTCATTGACAGCTCATCAAGGTCGGAATAAAAAAAACATATACAGCACTCCTCATCCATCTTGGTTGAAATCAGTGGTTGTGATTCTGCAATACTGGTCTGGATGAAAAGGAATTACATCACTGACAACCAAAAATATCTTGATGACACCAGGAAATTATTTTATGCACTTATGTGACAAAGATGCATTTATCTGAAAAATGTGTGCCTTGTTGCACAGCATTTTTGCAAAAAAAAAAAAAAAAAAAAAAAAATTACTAGAAAAAAAAAAAATGATTTATATAAAACAGGATTGTGGGCCAGCCATAAACCTTGGGATAAAACTGGTTTATGCAGCTTTTTTAGCATTTACAAAAAATGCCCCTCGCAATATAGTGCCGACATTGCCGTACGATCATGCGGCGTCCACTCCTCTACGTCGGTATGCTCCAGCAGACCTGTTTCAGATGAACTGACCACCCACATCAGGTCATCAGGTTCAGCTGAAACTTGCTAATGACTCATTGACTTCAGCTGTGCAGCAGCTGAGAAACGTCTAGAACTTGATTCCTGGATGTAAGTGCCCCCGGACACACACTTGTTATGCTGTTAAAATTAAGGAACAAAACCGTGAGTAAATGCAGAAATTAGCGTGCTCCATGTGAGCTAGCGTTAATTCTATATGACCTTACAAAAGTGTTAGCTTAAAGTTGTTTTGACTTTAGCAAGTAGAGCAATGAGGTTTTACTTCGAAGAACTAAACTTTTTGGATTATAATAATGAATTAATAATGTTCTCCAGGATCATTTTAACGTCTTATGCAACTCATACCAAGCAAAAATAAAAATACAAGATGACAGAAAATTTGTTGTTGAGCAGAAATGACACCAAATACTAAAACATTATTTGAGTTTTATTTTCTCACCTTCTTGTTACTAAACTTTGACGATAGGTAAAACAGATTAAATTTCTTTTTACCAGCAACTACTCACTTGATATATTAGTAAAATCAATTAAAATCAAACTGAAATTGTTTTTTTTAAATTGTAAAATTTACAAACGCAAACACATCTGGTAACATCATATTCCATTTCTTTGGGGTTTTCTTTTGATTTTTGTTTCTTCTATTTAATTGTTGTTAATCAAATCCTATAGCAAGATAATAGAGGTTGTCCTTGTGTGTTTGCCGCCCTGGCAGTATTACAGTATTACTGGTGTAATACTAATGCGTTATGCGGTATATAGCACAAAGGTAGACATGCAATGAAAGATTCAATAAAAAAAATAATTCCTTTTCTAAATAAGAAAAAACATTCTAATGCAATATCAGTTTTCCCGTAGTGCACTCTTGATCATTTGTTGTATCTTCAGTTAAAACAATGTTGTCTACTAATCTGTTGAGTGTTTTGGAAAAATGTGCTTAATAGAAGATTTTATTTAATTTATTTATTTATTTTTTACAGAATTTTAACTGGGTGAAGCAAAAACTATTACGACTAAAGCTATTCGAGCAGTTCTGGGATAGAATAATTCACTGATAAGAATTAATCAAATATGTTCATCAAAATTCCAGTTATAATGAATTTAAAGCTGGGTTTTTAGCCTTGATTTAAAGGTTTCAACTCTTTTTCAGTTTTCTGGAAGTTTGTTCCAGATTTGTGGTATATGTTTGGTTCTTTGGATGCAGACTAGAACCAGAACCAGAAGACCTGAGAGGTCTGGAAGGTTGGTACAACAATAGCAGATCTTTAATGTATTGTAAGCCAGTTAGTGATTTATAAACTAATGACAGAACTTTAAAGTTTGCTCTGTCAGTGGAAGGACTTTAGAAATGGTGATGTGATATCTCCTTGGTTTTAGACAGAAGGCAAGCAGCAGGATTTTCAGCTGCAGCTGTCTGATTTCTTTTTAGACAGACCTGAAAAGACATTGTTGCAGTAATCAATGCAACTAAAGATAAATGCATGGATGAGTTTCTCTGGATCTTGCTGGGATATTAGTCTTTTAATGTTCTTCAGATGACAGAAGGCCAACTTTCTAACTGTCTTTATGTGGCTCTGAAGGTTCAGGTCAGTTCATTGCTAAACCCAGATTTTGGGCCAGATCTCTAGCTCTGAAGCTGTGTGACTCTATATGTTCCTCTTTAGGACCAAAGTTAATCATTTCAGTTTTGTTTCTGTTCAGCTGGAGAAAGTCGTGGTACATCCACACACTGATTTCTTCTGTAGGACTGTTAAAGGTTAGCTGAAGCTCCTGCAGATATTCTAGTATGTTTACTCCATCCAACATTAGTTGGATGGAGTTGCGATGAGGTTAGCATGTGGGGGGGAGGTGTGTTGGACTCTTTTTTACTGAATACAAACAAAAGCCTCTTGAGCTGATAAACTGGAGGCACAAAAGAAGTGGGTCACTGCATGCTGGTCCACTAGGGGCCAGGGGGGCCGGTCATAGTGCCTCATAAATTATTTCCGCATAACACATCAAAAACGCTGGACTTTGATGAATCCACTAAGCCGAATCAATGCAGCCGCCTCCTTTATCCTTATTAGTGTAATGCTCTTGGTTGAAGGAAAAATACCAACAGCAGCAACCTGCTTTCAGACCCATTAAATTATTAACTAGACACAAACTGTATCCATTAACTCTATATTTGTATTTATTTTATTTCTTTTTAATGTGATTATTAGATTATTAAAATTATGTAAACAGCAGCAGTGCTGAAGCAGCACTTCTTATAGTAGACAAATGCGCCCTCTAGGGGTTGGAAACCATTCTTACACATCATTATTTAAAACGGGTAAACAATGATCAGCATGGCTGCTGCACCTTTGCACACATCAGATCAAACATTTTCATTTAGTGACGATGTGATGGTGTATTTTTTTTTTTAAATTTTTAATGATGGATGGTTGTAATATGTCCCACAGTTCTGTGTTAGAGCTCCTCTTTCTGCATGTGCCGGTAGTAAGGTCCACCAAATGTATGCTCAGGTTTAGTGATAAATTAGCTTCTTTATCCCTTACAGTTTATAATAATTAAAAACCGTGAGATGTGTTCGGTTGCTTAATGTCGCTTATGTAACATCGACTGTTAGTCATACGGCCCTGGTTCTGCCTTTTTTTTCCCAGTGAATCCAAGGTTGTTATATAACAACACTGGGCTTTTTAACCCTCTATATTGCAGTGTGTTTTCTGATAGGCCTACTTTACATCAGCATGAAACACCACCCAGAATATCACGGAAACTTTAGTTCAATGTATTGCCAGTGGATGGCAGTGTTCATATACTGATGCTTATACAGTGACTTAAAAACAGTTTGGGTCTTGCTAAAGCATAGTGACTGCTGTTGCAGTTTAATATTTATCCAAATAAATGTTTACTCTTTTGCATGAACAAGAAGTACTATGACTATGTCATGTAAGATTATTTAACGTAATAGATTCAAAGAATCTGAGACAGAACAGACATAATTATTAAAGTATAAGACACCAGTGAATGTCCAGTGGAGAAGAGTTTTTATTTCCCAGCTTTAGGTCAGAGTTTAGCTGAGATTGCTCTTTGAGAGGGATACACTGTCTTGTTGCTAGGTAACATCAGGACTTTCTCCGTGCCTAAGCCCAGTACTAGGCATCACTTTGAAAATGCCATAGTTTTTCCTTCTGATGTCAGTAAAACATGCTCACAGACATGGTGAAAGTAGCATTAACAGTATTGTTGACAATTTTATTGCTCTCACTTGTGACTCATCCGTGATAAGGGTGCTTGAATTCAGATGGTCCAGCCGGCTTTTTTGCAGCTGCTTCACCACGCTAGTTGTTGTGAAAGGTTATAGATTCGATGAATAGGTGAACTGTCACAAACATACATATACAAACTTGTGTTATGTAATGACATAATTTTAAAGCAACATATTTATAGACCACTGCATAGACTTTTTTTTCTTTCTTGAGGATGAGGAGGAATCAATAAGATAGCTTCTTGTTGAAGAAGTTTCTCTCCTCCACGTTATTTTTTTTTGTTGTTGTTCTTTAATCGTAACATTTTTTATTACCCTGCTGACCACTTCCAGGGTCTTCAAGGGGATCTATCTAATTAGGACAATCCATCTGTATCTTTCTGTTCCAGCAACTAGTAAATGAAAGGCACAGTACATCCTGGACAAATAGCTAGACCAGCCAATACATACAAATATGGCATCTTCTTACAGGGCTTTATGAAATTTAATCATGATAAAAAAAATAATATTTGATAGATTCCAATCTATCAGTA